GACCACATTCTAGGGAAATTTATCAAAACTGGCCATTTCTACTTTTCCAACAAGGCCTCATTTCCTGGATCCAAGTTTGCATGTACCAGACAGAGGGGCAGACAGCTGGGGGTGGTGAGCTGCGGCCAGCTCTGGTAGGCTGGGCCTCTACATGGCTGCCTCCCTGCACATGCACACAGTGGGTGATCAAAAGATGGAAGAGGGTGCAGAGGAGTAACTCAGGGGCTTGAGCAGCTGCTTGCAAGTCCAAGGCTGCTGCCTGCCTGCACCCAGCGTGAGCCTGGCAGCTGTGCTGTCAGTGATGCCCAGAGCTGCAAGCGATTCCTAGTCAACCCACAACCAGTTGTGTGTCAGCACCACAGAGGGGTGCAACCCTCCACAAGTAAAACTCCTGAGAGGTGCATGAGTACCGGAAGTGCAGAAGAACTACTACAGCCGGAAGTACAATCAATTCCCAAGAGCACCACCAGGACTCCAGAGTGTGACGCAAAGGCAGACAGCTCTCTGCAGCACCCCAAATGAAAGTATCACCCTCAGGCATGTCAGTGGCCCCAACCCAGGGGACGGTGCAGGGGACGGGAGGTGGGTAAAACAAAAAAATTATTTAAAAAGGGAAAGAGAAGAAATAGGAACCAGAGGGGGCAAGTTCAGGTTGAGGGTTCAGTCTTTCCTTCCTCTGGAACCGCGGCCCTCTTGCCCATGAGAGCATCACCAGGGAGGGTCACCGAGCAGTGACATGTTTGTCCATGTTGGGGATGCAGCACAACAGCACCAGCTTTTAATTTTTCTAAATTAAAAGGATTAAAAAGAGAGAGGAAAAAAGAAAGCTGTGATTTCTTACTGTTGGAAGAAAAAAACCAAAAAGAGGACGGGGGAGACCGTTCCTTAGGCTGAGCACAACATTTGCATGCAGGAGGCCGGAGTTCCACCCCCTGGCACCACACGGTTCCTGAGCATCACTGGGCATGGCCCAAACCAAAACCACCCCGCCCACCCTCCCCCTCCAAACAAAAGAAGCAACAAGAAAGGACATGAGAAAACCCTCACAGACTCACTTTCCTCTCAGAAACAGCAAAGCTGGGCCTCGTGCCTCTGTTCAGAAATGACTCACAGTGGGGGAGCAGAGTTGTCTGCCCATTTCAGAGGTGGGAACCCAGAGCCAGTGGGGCTCGGGTCACTCCCAACCCAGGCAGCCTCATCAGCGTCTTTCCTGACTGGACCTCAGCTGACCCTTCAGTGGGCCCTGACAGAGGGACGGGGGGTGGGGGGGGAGGTCAAGCTGGCATCTGTGACGTCTGGGCAGGAGGTGAAGGGGCACAGGTGCTCAGAACAGGCCCCCGTTATTTTCAGTTGAGACCAATTGAGGTCCAAGAGGTGGAGGTTCAGCTCTCACCCCTCCTGTAATTCGAGGTGCTCCTTCTCTTTATTATGGAGACCAGAGATTCCCATACTTACTTGGCTTACTACCCCCTTTTAAGAAGCACAGTCACTCAGAACCCGGGACATACACCTTCTGTAGCTAATAAGCAGAAGCGCCCCCCAACTGCACCCAAGGGTACTACCACCCCCCCCCCCCCAGGTGAGTACAGCACCCTCTGGGGGAGCTGCCTACTTTGGGAAGCAGGAGAAGAATGAAGATGAGCACTTTCTCTGGAGGCTGGGCTCTCTGTGAAATTGGTCACTGAGAACCCATCTACATGAGAGAGCTACCTCGACTTCCCCTCTTCTCTCCTGGTCCCCCCAGACTCCTAGTCCTAGCTCCATTAAGGATCTGTACCCAGACCTAAGGTGGTTCTGCAGGGGGAAGGGCGGGGAGGGGCGGCAGGGAGGGAATCACTTCTCTAAGACTTTTGTTCTTCAGCCTTGCCCCCACCTACCTCCCTACCCCCTCCCCACCCCCACCCCCACCTCCACCTCCGCCACCATTTGATGCTGTTTGAATTTCTCAAGCAACTCAAAAAGAATGCAGGCGCACGCGCGCGCGTGCGTGTGTGTGTGTGTGTGTGTGTGTGTGTGTGTGTGTGTGTGTAAGGGGGGAGGCATTGTTCCCTGGCATCCTGAAGGACTCCCATGGCTCCATTACCAGCAGGTATGGGGGGGGGGGTGTGCTGTGGCTCCATGCACCTGTGGAGCTGGAGGGGGGAGGGGTAAACTGAGCCAGCCTCCTCAAAGTCACACTCCTCCTCTTTCTGCTCCCACCCACCCGAGACTCCAGGAACCCTCCCACCCACCACCATGGTCCATGAAACCACATCCAGCTTGCCC